CTACTGTAGCGTAGTTCGAGCTAATCTTAGTCGCGGCCCACCCGGTTCAGGCCAGAGACGCGTATTTGTTAGGGGATAAGTTGATGGACGTCAAGAGAACGAGTACGGATAACGAGATGCAAGGCCAGCTATCGAGGAGATCGAAGAATGAAAGCGCCGCTTCTAGCCGAAAGTAGTAGTAGTGCTACGATCCCAGGAAGTGTTTGTAGCAGTGGTAGTAGTAATTTTAAGCTCATCGAGCTCTACTACCGCACGTATGAGTGCGATAGTACTGTGGCAAATACTCCCAAAGACCAACCGAGATCGATCTCTCGAAGGTTCCATGAGCCGCTTGGATCGCCAGGTGAGTCACCTGAGGTGACCGTCATCTGCAGGCTGTGATGATGGCCAATGTTTTCGTCAGTATCTTGAAGTTTGTTGATATAAAATAATGCTAGTTGCTAAATTCCATTGTATTTTTTTACTATATAACTCGTATAATTCTAGATTGATACCATGATTGGGAAAATGATTGCTTTTCACTATGCGAGTTGTGATCCATACTTGTATACATCCAAATAAAGTGGCTACATTTAAGTTTCGAATTTGTGGTTGAACACATGTGCACACATGTTAATTTGAGCATGTAAATTAAAAGGAAAAATTGCTGTTAAAAACTATCGTGATTTTTGCGCAAGTTTAACTTTTTCGTTCTAAAAAAGAAATATTTCATAGTATAAATACTATATGTTGGGCGTTAAAATTTGGTCGTTTGGAAGTCTACGTGGTCTTCGCCCTGGCTGTTTTGGCATCAACGCGAAATACAACAACCAACGGACCGACTTCCGACTTAGTGGTATGAGTTCAAGTCCTGGTTAATGTGGCAGAGTGCATCACACGTAATGCTATGAAGCTCTAATTGTAAACTAGGGGAGGTCAGGATTTACGCAAGAGCTCGAAAACGATTTATCAATAAAACTTAGCATCCAAAATCAAGTGCAACTTTGAGAATTCAAAGTTGGCGCGAAGTTGAAGTAGTGAAAAAGATAGAAGTTGCGGTTTTCCCCCCAGGATCCACACCGACGATTCCACCAATAAGATACGTGTATTTGAAGTTGCGTATGCTGTGATTGGCGGAACCACACCCTCGGGAATGGTGATTGGCGGAATCGTAGCTTCAACATGCGCCTGATCATGGCTGGAGCGAAATAATACCATCCGACGGAGCGCGGCAAACGAATGATCATTTCCAAACTCGCCGAGAGACGCACAAGTCTTTCAGTCTGAAGGCCGCCGCCGTCTTCTTTGGACCCCATCTCACTCACACTAGTGCTGCAATCCGCCCCCGTGAGACCCACCCAACAACAATCGACGAAACACAGATACAACTTTGCAGACCGGCGTGCTGCCTACGACCTATGAAGACCC